ACTAATTATTTTGACTTTCAAGCACTAATAAAAGTTATTTGGACATGATGGCAAAGGAGAAACAAAAAAAAACAAGAACTGGCCAGGCGTTTCTGTCATTCCTGCAAGGGCATGTAGTTTTTTTAATTTTTATCTTTTTAAAGAAAAAGAAGGCTAAGAAGCTAAATCAGCAATAAGCCGGACAGGGGTGATCCAGGCAAAACAACATTTGGAGTTTAGATGCTTTTGCCCAGATCCAACGGTTCCTTGACTTTTATTTTGCCTCCAATATGACTTTTTGGGTTCTGAGCAAGACGATGGCCCCGTTTTGGTAGTAACAGCTCATTTTTTGGTTTTCACCGAGATATCCATCAGAGCGAACCCAATGATTAATCCCTCGGGTACTGTCGGGCCCAAGATAAGGACGACCCTCCCAGGCATGTTTGCTCCATTCCTATCCCTCCAGGAATCGAATCCCAGAGGCGATGGTTAAGGGACACAACTCCCTTACCAGTTGTGCCAGCGCGCGCTAGTAGTAACAGCTCATTGATATGTACCCAAAAAGGAAAAAACTATAACAGCTCATTGACTTCCGTCTTGTGTGGTTTTTGGCCTTGTTTTTGCTCTGTTTTAAAGCCGTTTGTTTGTTTTGAAATGGATGTTACTGGGCCACATCCTGAGCCCAAAAGGACGTGCTTTTAGGCCCATAACGGCCCTATTAAAATATGGATCCCCGCCTTGATCAGGGGAGGAAACATTAAACAAAAAGGGATAGATGTCATAATCCCATATTCCTCACTCCAAAAAAATACAATACAAGGAAGTAAATAAAACGTCAAGATATATCCAGCACCTTCAAATCAGGTAGCACCCTATTGTATTTTGAGATACATTTAGCATCTTGAAATAATTTTTCAAGTGCGTACAGTACCGTAAATTTTTTTTTTGTGTCTAACACCTCAAAATATTTTTGGTATATCCAATACCAATACACCATAAAATACTTAAAGTATTTTTGGTGCACTTTTAACCCATGAATAAATGGAGACATGTTTAAAATAAAACTGTCTAAAAAGGAAATAAAGATAGTGCAAAGAAAGGCCTGTTCTACCAACAAATTTAGCCTTCATGGTAAATACATGAGGATTTAATTTGGAGGTTCTGAGCTCGACACTAAGAAAGGCCTGTTCTATGCTTTTGAGGCTGCCGGAGCTTCCCAATCTTGGACCAGTAAGGGTGCTTCTCCCAAACAGTAGCCATTTCTTCAATGGGAATTCCTCTGGTCTCAGGTAGCAATTTGTAGATGAAGATGCTCATCATCAACGCAAACAAGCGAAGAAAATGAAGCGGCCGAACTTCATGTGACACAACATCGCCGTGAAAACTTGCGCCGCCGCAAATGTGAAGTCGCGCTCTGAGCCGCCGATCTCACTTCCAGTGGGAATATCTCACTCGGCACCAGCCACCCAAGAGGACCCCACGACCACTCGAATCCAGGCACATACAGATAAATATTCATGCCACCACCAGATGTGCATACTACGCCGGCAACACTCCGGGATTCCCACCCACCCCAACCTTCATCCCTATCGCAATTGTTATCACCACCTGGAGAAAAAGCCACGCGTTATGAAGTTCCCAAGAAGATTAACCAAGTTTTGATGGCAGATCAACATTTGAAGACCACCTTCTTCCAAATTTATCAACGGTGAAAATGGAAACAAGTGTGGCGCACGAATTGAAGGCTCCGGTGATGACGGCGGACGCTAGAGAAGCGGAGGCTCCGAAACCGATGGTCTTGAACAGAACAGGAGCATAGAAGGTGATTATGTTTATGCCGGTGAGCTGTTGGAAGAAGGGTATGGCGATGGCGAACGTGAGCTGAGGACTGGACTGCCTTGTCAGGAGAGGGCCATGGGTGTTTCACGGGACGGGAGGCTTCACAGGCGGCGACCAGATCCTTAAACTCCTCGTCGATCTCGGAAGTCCCACGAATCTTAGCCACCTCTTCCTTAATTTGCTCCCTCGTGATGACCGCCTTCAATCAAAGAGTTGGGGCAGTCAGGAAGAAAGATGGCACCAAGTATGATCATTATCGCAGGAACTCCGGCTAACGCCAAGCTGTATCGCCACCCTTCGCCGCTCGGCAACTTGGCCAAAAATTAGTTCAGTACATTGGCCGCTAATATGCCTATTGTGATCGACAACGGGAACATCGTGTTCAGAGCTCCTCTGTACTTGTATGGCGCCACCTCGGATACGTAGATCCGCACAGACTGTTTCAAGGGTTAGGAAAAAAAAACGGCAAAGACTAAGAACATTGATATGAAAGGAATGGATCGAGGTTAGCTTGCTGATATTATATGTTTTGTGTTTATTGAGAAAAGAACCTGATTGTTTCTCCTATATCAAATTTAATTAGAATCCCCATATTATCTACATATCAAATTTAAACATGGTTATTTCGTATAACAGATAAATATATTTACAAACTCAGCTTATTATTCAATTACATTAAAACAAATAAAAAAACAACCCCCACACAACGTTGATGTAAATTATGTTACCTCCGGTTTTTAATATAAGACCTAATTGACTGATTTGGGGAGATTAAAAAAGTTAGTTAAATTAGTTATTTGTAGTAAATAGATGTTATCTTTTCTAAAATGCCCTTATTGATCATATATGTTTGAATTATAACTTGATAGTACCTCCTTAACATATGCAACTATTGTAGGAATTACTTGAGAAAAAATGAATAAATATTAGAGACAAAATGTATTGAAATCTTATATTTATGATCAAATTAAAAGTCAAACTAATTCTTATATTAAATACCAGAGTTAGTACTTTTATGTGGATGAAAAGAGTGGCCCTTATGTGGGGTGTGTGCGCGCGTGCGCGTACTATGTGTACATGAATGGAGACCAACAGACCAATGAATCAAGGAGGCAATAGAAAGCAGAGAATTAATGAAGCATGTGAGATCACAGAAGCCAACAGATTTTACGGCAACCAAACATTAAGCATTGAACTTTGGTGGCCAAACATGGTCCATACAATTTAATACAACCAACAAAACAAGGTCTGATATATGATGTAAAGAAACAGCACTTTGAAGAGATTGCAAACATTTTTTGTTCCTTTTCCTTTCAACAATGTTTATTAGGATGTCGTTTTTAATTTCTGGGTTACATGTAAGAGAAGTACAAAAAGGAGCAGCGGCAGGGATTTAACTGGAATATCTTAATGCAACTGTCAATTTTCCATATAGATGATTAAGCCACGGATAATAATTCTTTTGTCAGTTGGAATATCAACACCTAAATTTAGGTGAAATATCAATCTGAAGAATAGTGCTACTATGGGATAGTGACTCCAATAATAATAATGGGATATATTCAAACCCATGTGGCAGATCAATTCAATGCTATGTTTTTTTCCCAATTTTTTTTTTGTTGTTTTAATTTTGATTATAACAATCCCAGCACGAGGGAACATATGGATAGTAATATTAGTGAGAGTTCAAAGTACGAAAACCAAAGGCATCTGATATAGGTTAAGCAGTGTAAAAGCAGTAATAAAAATAAATTTTTTCACCTTAATTTAAAAAATCGTTGCATTAATTATATTTTCCATTTATAGGCATGTTTAAAATAGAATACAAGAAAGTCCATAGATTACAGAACTCATAAACACACACGGGGCTCACTTGGACTTGGTTTCTGTACATTACGCGGTGAAAGGCAACGTAGATCATATTTTTAAGTTTTAGGAATTTTTTAATTAAATCTCAAAGAGTGACACGACAAAAAAATTCTAGGTGCCCGACCCTGTTGAGTAAAAATTTCAAAAACAAATTTTTACCTTAATATTGAGTCGATGTCAACTTTTTTTTTCGCAGGCAAGACCGATTGAATTAATTTGGCAAAAGTAGGTAATTAAACAATTGGATAAAGGTGGTCAAAATCCTAAAAGCAAAAACTTTCCTAATCTCTACAGAACTTAAAATGGATTTCGAACAGCGAAGTGAAAACACATATTTCCCATTATGTCCAGGTTAAAATCTAAGCAGCTTGTTAACAACTTTTCATCAAATTAAACCCTTGAGGTGCAGCTCCAATTCATCATCCACGCAACACACAGTATAACATTTAAAATCAATAACTCTATAGTTTAATGACATCAAAACTTTATTATAAGTAAAAAAAATTCTACTCCTCCTCAGTGGATTCAGCAAGCAAAAGGATTGGATACACTCACTAAGAAAGCAGATTCGACTTTGGAACACATCACGGTGTTGGAGGAGGCATCTTCAAAGCTCGTAAACAATGAGTTCAGCTTGTCCCAGTTTAAGCTACAGTGTTAGGTAGGACTAAGGTCAAGGGTTAATTGTCCTGCTATTGGATCATGGTGAACCCAACCCCTTTTCTAAATTTTGTTCACAAAAAAAAAAGTAAAAAAATTGTACATATTTGATTTTGTTTGTAACCTAAACTATTTAGTGTCTATTTCTAATTTTAAAAATAAGAATCAGCACTGGAAACATGATTAACCTCCATTTTTTAATATAAAAATTAGAAAAAAAAATAATAGGAGTAAACAAGAAAGATGTCAACGTTGGTGAGTGTATATGAAAAAGTAGGAAGTAGCTGTCGCTAATCAGCGTCTCATGCGTGTCATGACGACAAGAATTGGGGTATGTACCACTGACTCGCAGGTCCCAACCATGAAACATCATCAGTCATTGAAATCTCTCTCTCTCTCTCTCTGGGGTCATTACTCATTTAATCTTGTTCTATTCATCACTAGTCCAGAGTCCAAACCCAAACCCTATTAATGGAGCCAGCTAATTAAAGTAGCACTACATCACTTGGCTCCGCCGCGAAATCCCCACGCTTTTCCTTTCTTAATACATTCGTTTCTGCATATATATATATAAACCCCACCTCATTCTCTCCTTTACTGGTGTCACCAAATCTTGTTTTCCCTCTTTCCCTGCGCTATAAATGGTGTGGCTAAACTAAATTAGAGACACCTCCACGTGTCATCAAAACCAGTGGCGTATGGCGTCATCGTCGTCTTCCAAGAGCAAGAGGCACCCGCTGTACCACGGGATTCGGTGTCGGGGAGGAAAATGGGTGTCTGAAATCCGGGAGCCACGTAAGGATTCTCGCATATGGCTCGGAACGTTCCCGACGCCAGAGATGGCCGCCGCCGCCTACGACGTAGCGGCGTTAGCCCTTAAAGGCAGCGACGCTGTCCTCAACTTCCCTGACTGGGTCGGGACTTATCCTGTGCCGGCTTCTCCATCTGCTGCTGACATTCGCAGCGCCGCCGCAGCCGCAGCCGCACTCATGGCACCTCAAGAACAGACTCAAACCAACGACGCTGCCAATGTCGCAGGTAATGCTAATCATGGGAATGAGGGCAATGTTTCGTGGTCTGAGACAGAGTTTGTGGACGAGGAAGCCATATTCGACATGCCAAACTTGCTCGTGGACATGGCCGGAGGAATGCTGCTCTCCCCTCCCAGAATCGACCCGCCACCCTCCGATAACTCCCCCGACGACCGGTCGTACGGAGAAACATTGTGGAACTATTTTTGAGCTTCCAGGTTAATGATGACACAGAACAATACTCCAATAAGACAATTGGGCTCAAGCTTTCCCGGAGGCCACTGTATAACTAATTATATACCTGCGAATGCGAATTCGTCTCGGCTTCAATGTGTCCTGAGATGTTTCTTCGTCTGCGTTTCTTCTAGGCTTGTGAAAGTGTTTTTAGAATACTAGTCCATCCTGCTTTCGTTTTCGTGTGGGTTTAATATTTTGCTCTTAATGCTTTTCAGAAACATGTGCGCTTTGGGAATAAACAGAGTCGCACTATGACAGGGACTTGACTAAAACCCATGTAATCCCTTTTAATTATTATTATATTAAAGTACTAATGCTGGTTTAAGATGATTTTATAAATTTAAGTATTCAATTAAGTCAGTGCAGGGTCAGGAGGGTTTTACCGACTCCTGGCCGCAATAGCTTTAGTGGGTCCCAGTGGACCCAAAATTAGAAGAACCTGTTTGGTTAAGATTGAGGGGAGACAGAAGATGTATGGATAAAGATAAGAAGAGTCAACAAAGTGTCTGATTTGTTAATCTTTTGTACTGTTCAGTTTTTCTGAGCTCGCAATCATGCCGCCATAAGCATCATTCGTCCCCTTCATTCAAGTTATTTCCAATTCATGCCACACTTACCCATTATATTCATGGAAAGTGATCATAATGTGTAGCAGTTTAATGAGAACCCATGTGCTTAATAATAATAAATACTTGTTCTCTGAACTTTTTTCACTTCAATTTCGAATCGCCGTTTATTCAACACCAAAACAAATAGTACAAATTTATGAACAGAGTAAACATTTTTTGGCTGAGGCACAGTAAATGAATTCTTGAAGCAAGACGTACGCACGCACTTAAGCATTGAAAATGAAAAACAGTGATTGTAATTGGGATTGAGAAAATAGTATTTAATAGAAGAGATTGCTTATTACATAGGATTAGACAAACTCATGTGTGTGGGATTGATAAATACTATTGGGGAAGTGGTATTCCTCAATCCTACTTTTATAAATTTGTCTAATCCCATATAACAAATACTTACTTATGCTAAGAACTTTTTAATGATTTTTTGTCAATTGTAATGCTAATTCTTATCCCTCATTTTCACTGTTTTGTATCAAGCAATACTTAAGAGATTCAGATTTTTTTGGTCTTGGCAACAGTAGTCTTACCATTATTCTGAGACTGAGCGAAGCACAGACCAGACTACAGAGGGCCTCAGAACATCCCCCTCTTATCTTTTTTATTTCTTTAAGCACACGGGTTACTTATTGAAGTATATCCATTCGAAAACAAATAGCTTCTAGCAAGTATATATAGGCCTGTAAACCTGTCATATGTGTATAAATAAATATCGTTCGGTCAGGAGAATTATCCATTAACAGTTACGCTGATTACTGAAGAAAGTAACGATATGAAACTAGTCAGAACATTATGGAATCACACGCGACCTAACTTGGCAGGTGGAGTAATGTGGAGTTACCCCTATTAGCGGTGTACGTGTTGGGTAAGTAGATTGAATATAGCATCATAGAGATTAAAAAGAATGGGAATACGTTATTGCTTAAGTTAAATTCTTATTTATTATCTTAATTTTTATATAAGTTATGAATATTTTTTTACACTGCCACACTTAGCTTGATAGAGCATAGATGTGTGTGTGTGTGTGAGATAGGAACGGGAAAGATATAACATTAATATATCCTTCTTTTACTTGATGATCTAGGGCAAGTTTGACTCTACATACTTCATTCCATTCATATATACTACCTCCAATCTTAATTATGGGACCTCATTTATAGTCTATAAATGAGATCTTATAATTAAGACCGGAGATAGTACTATATATTCCTTCCACCATCTGATGAAATAAAGTGCTGCAGCTTTAATATATAAAAAGGGGGGGAATGGGCAGATTAAAAGCTATCGAGTTCCTTAGTAACAAGTTTCTATATGTTACTACCTCCGATCCTTAATATAGCAACTAATTGACTAAATTAAGTAAATTAATAAAGTTTGTTAAGTTAATTACTTATAATCGATAAATGTTATTTTTCTTAAAATGTCCTTATTAATCATATATATTAGCTAGAACTACTATTTGATAGAACATTTAATATGTGTAACTATTAACTTTAGAAAAAATAAATAAATATGATAAACAAAATAGATTGAGATTTTATATATAACCAAATTAAATATAAAACTATCTCGTATATTACTGGGAAGGAGTACTTGTTAGCGCAGCTAATTAGCTTCGCATGAGGATGCCTTCCGGTTATTGTGATACGTACTTATCTTTTATTATTTCACGACGACACTCTGGTAAGAACATGGCTGGTGTTCTTTTTAATTAACTATTTAGTTGTTATTATAAGATCTCAATAATATAATAAAAGAACTAAGGAGGGCAATGTGATGATGGATCAATTGGATGGAGTGGGTGGTGGTTGGTTGTTGTTTAATTTCTAAACGTCATGTGAGGGATTCGGACTAGCTGGTTAATTAAGTCAAGTATAAATATGATGAGTCAAACAGTGAAGATTGAGTGGGGACTAGCTGGCTAGCTAAGTCGGCCATGAAATCAAAAAGGGAAGAGAGAGAGAGAGCGAGATGATACACATGGATACGTGAAAGCTTAAATTAATGTTGAAAGACACTGTGCTGTAGTTGCTTCAGCCGGGTAAACTTTATTCATTAGCAAAACCAAAAAGGAATTTAGCAATCTCTAACAGGTAGGGTCTTGTCTTTGTGCACCCCAGGTGACCAAATCATGTTATTAAATAATACTCACTCCACATGGTTGAAGTGATAGCAGTCTCGCCGTAAAGAGAAAAATACAAGTTCGAATTTTAGAAAGCACACTTGTTGGGAGAATTATTTCTTAACTGTTTTAGGTTCGAAAGGAATTAGTCTCAAATCCAATATGATCTGGAGATATTTTCTTTCACCTAAAAAAATGACACTCACTCCATCATCATCATCAAACGCATCAATCTCTTATACTACATTGATCCTTTATACAAGACTTTGTTTGAATTTTATTTTGATCCTAAATATAATATTTATCCTTATCCACTTTGTACGTCATATTTATCCATTGGAAATAATTATTCTAATAATAGTAATTCTAACTAATATACTTGATTAGTAAGGATATTTTAGGAAAAGACAATACTTACTTATTACAAATAACTAACTTAACTTATTTCCTTAATTTACTTAATTAGTTAATTAGCTCTTATATTTAGGGCGGAAAATAGTAGCATACCCCCATCCTTAATATAAGAGCTAGTTTAACTTTTAATTTGATCTAAATATAAGATTCTAATCCATTTGCCTCTCATATTTATCTATTCTTTTAAGATAGTCTTGTAGTAGTTATACATGTTAAATGTTTCATCAAATGGTAGTTCTAGCTAATACACAAGATTAACAAGTATTTTAGAGAAGACAATGCATATTTATTATAAATAATTAACTTAACAAACTTTATTAGTCTACTCAAATTAGTCAACTAGCTCTTATAATATAACTTTGAACTGTCCAGAACCAATATAATTCTCTTTTTTTTTTTTTTTAGCTTTTTGAAGTTTGACCAGGAGAGGTTGACACAAATGGCCGACATCTATATCTCTCCATCGTTTTCTTTGTTTTGTTTCAGTTTTCAAAGTATAGGTTTGAACTGAGTATGACTTGGTTGGTGACCCCTCGCTTTCTCTCCTTCGCTTTGTTTCCACAACTTTTAAATGTATTCATATGTATATATTTCGGCCAGGCCAATTCAATCAAGTGATATGGATATATATTTGCACGTTCTCCCTGTATATTTATATACACACAGGGAGATGTGTGCGTGTGTGTGTGGTGGCCGACTTGGTTCCATTTGATATTTACGATCACAGCCAAATCTTGGTGGCCCCACGATGTCACAACGTTCGTATCTCCGCACGTCTCTCTTATATTCTTCAATTCTACGCTCTAATTTCCCCCGCCGCTTTCTTCTTGGCTATCATTGTTCCTCCTAGTCGCCTCGGAAATCAAATTTATTATAAGGAAATATATAATAAAAATCTTAAATGTGTGTGTGTGTGAATTGATGAATGAATATTTTTGCGGCCGATGATGTGCCTTGTGTCTATTGGATGCTTTTCTGAGAAGAGAGACTAATACAAGTGCATCTATTATTATTTGAGATTCATGCTCCCTTAGCTTTTATTAATTACTCCCTCCGTTCCTTATTATAAGAGACATTTGATGCTTATGGCATGTTCCTATATATAAGAGACACTTACAAGTTGTCTCTACTTTTTGGTTGATTTACTATTTTACCCATATTTTTATCTCCAATTCACACTCTCTCTCCCTCCCACTTCTCTTTCTTTTAATAAATTAATTGTTATCTCTCATGCTCTCTCTCCTTATTAATGAGGGTATTTTTGGAAAAAAAATTATACTTTTTACATATTAATTGTTCTCAACTAATTTTAACTGTTTTTTTTTTGATCAACGTACTTCGTTATTTGTCTCTTTAATAAGGAACGGAGGGAGTACTTACTATGAAAAATATGGGAGATTTAATTACAGCGGTGTAATTTTGACTAAAACATATCGAATTCAAATACTCCCTCCAATTCTAAGTGTAAAGGCTAAACAACTAAGTCATTTACATTATGAAAATCAATTTAGTTAGTTATTCAAAAAAAATTAATGCCCTCCTCTCCATCATTATTTACATATTATCCCTATTAATGCGTGCAGTAATCGGCAATAATAGTTTTAAAAAAAATAATAAATATAAAATTAAAGACACAGAAGATTGAGATGTTATATTTTAAAATCAAAACAAATTTTTCAACTAATAATTTGGGTATATTTAGAATAAAAGGGAGGGAATAGTTGATTTGGAGTCTATTAACTATTAATAAAAAAATTTCCTTTGCTTTTTATATGATTCAAGAAACCAAAGTTCATGATTAAAGAACAATCAGAGTTATGACGTCTGAGAGATAAAACATAGTTTTTGACGGTGTGAAAGTGAACAATAGAAGTGACATGATCACGGGGTTAATTTGGTGTGATGTGTGTGTGCGCGCGCATGTAATTTATTAAGGGAAAGGTCGACGAGTTGCAAACGAAACTTGATGAGAAGAGGAGAAAGTAAGATATCCCATGAGACACACTCATTTATGTCCTTTCGACCCGACCAGCTAATTAAAGACTCCAAAAATCAAATATCTCCCGCCATCATTATTCATTATTTCGTCGTCCAGGTAGGTAAAAGTTTAGATTATTAGTCGAGATTTCAATATAATACGCTTCTTCGTTCAAGGTGTGGTTACAAAGATATAAAATTGCACATTTTTCACCAATATAATATGCTTCTAACTTCAAGGTGTAGTTACAAAGATATAAAATTGCACATTTTTCACCAGCAAAATTCTCACTTTAACAGTGAGATTTGTACCCATGATCTTCTATATAGTTTACGAGCTTTGTAGATCATGACCAATTGAAGTCACTGCTTTTTCCTTATGTCATTAACTTTCTGGAAAATAATTTAATCTAAGTTTAATAGATAAATTTTTAGGCGAAATTGGCGCTTTAATTAATTGATAGGGGGTGTGAAATTATCAATGCAATCCAGTTGCCGCAACGCATTGATTTCACTGAAGAAAATCGTTATTTTTATACTTTGGCGAGATTGTAGTTGGTAAATTAAAATGAAACTTTTAAAAAGATATACAATGAGTATAGAATATTTGTGCGACATCAATCCTAAAAAGAACTAATTAAAGATTTACCAAATTCAGAAGTCGTATTGAATTGTAGTTGAAATATTGAAATAGGACTACTGAAATGATAGGTGAGTATAAATTAAAGTTTGTAAACCGTACAACTAAAAAGCATAAACCTCACTAAAAAAATTCAGCAATTATAATTATGACTAAAATATTTTTGGGAATTTAAACAAGACCCTTTTTCTTTTTTGCGAACCTAAAATAAGACTACTTAAATGGTATAAAGTGGGCAAGAATTCTGTGCAGGCCACTATTGAAAGCCGCTTACCTGAATTATTCAAAAATATTTAAGCAACCGGTATCCTACTTAGAATAAATTATTTTTTGAAAAGAAAGAAGACGTTAAAGACCTAAAAAATACGACTTTATATTGCCGGCCATTTTCAGAAATTCATGATCTTTTATCGTCACTGTTCCTCTCGAAGGGTCTGTAACTTGCAATTTTTTTCCCAGTGACAATGACACACACCTTCTATGAAATATTAAAATAATAATAATAATTATTATTATTATATTTAACAGAAGTTTGTTTCCACTTTCAAGTTTCAACAACGAGAGTTGTATATAATTTGAATGGCTTTCTAAATAAAGAGGTAAAATTAGACTGTTGTTTGGATAGAACTTAATGGGCAGAATCTGAATCTTGACTTTAAATGTAGGACTAAGTTTTTACTTAAAGCTGTACCAACAAAAAAAGTTCTTAATTAATGTCTTCAAGTAGTTTAGGCACACTACTCTTCGGCAAGATGATCCAACGCAGGGCAACAGGCCCAAACATACAACAACTCCAAAATCCAACGAACCCCACATGCCAAACATATTATTAATAGCAAAAATTACCACAGCCCTCCCCCACAGGGACCCCCCCCCCCCCCAAAAAAAAAAAACAGCTTGCCTTCTCTGCCTTGCCCTTTACGTCGGCTGCACCTCCTTTACCCCAGAACTCCACCATTTTGAATGTGAAATAGGAGGTTGAACCCCCCCCCCTTTTAATCCTTTTAAGTTTTTCAATTAGCATCTAGTATTTTAAAATATTTTTCTAAAGTACCTAATATTTTAAAATAATTTTTTATACACTCAAAATCTATTCTAATTTAATTTTTCAGTAACACTCAGTATCCTACAATAATTTACATCCTAAAATATTTTTAGAGTAGCGCTTTGTATGCTAAGTTTATGTCATTGCCATTGAAAAAAATACATTAAGAATAAAATTGCATTGAGCATCCTAAGATATTAAGTGTTACTAAAAAAATATTTTAAGACATTGAATGTACTTAAAACTAGTTTAGAGGATATGGGGTTCTATTAACAGAATATTTTCCAATATAGAGAGCACAAAAAATTTTCTTCGAATACTAGGTGCCACTGGATAAATATTTTAGAGTGGGTTGAGTGCATCAAAAATTATTTTAAAATACTGAATATTATTGAAAAGTATTTTAAGATACCATATGCTGTTTTTTATGGTACTAAATGCATCCAAAATTATTTTAAGATTCTGAGTGTTGGCAAAAAAATGTTTTAGGATGCTTTTTGAATATATAAAAAATTATTTTAAAATATTAGGTATTGTTACGAAAATTTAAAATACTGGATGCTATTTAAAAAATTTCAACCCACCCAAAACAGTGTAATTTTGGGTAAAAAAAAGAGTTAGCGGACTCAAAGGGAAGGGAGGAGAAGCCAATTCCGAAACAATCAAAAGGAGTAGACTTGGTACAGCTTAAGTAAGGTTTGGAGTTCGAGCCTCAGTATATGTTTCACCCACCACAGCCAGGTGTACAACGGGAGTCGGATCCAGATATAGTCAGAGTAAAGTTCCGATAAACTGTGTGGGCAATATAAAAAAAAAAATCCCTATATTTTGACCTTATTTTATTTTCAGTATTTCTATGGTTTTCCATCCTTTTTATCTTTTCCCCATCTGTTATTTTATTTTCAAAAACACTTAAAGTGACATTTCTAAGCATTTTAAAAAAATAAATTCTCTTATTAATATGATTATGAAATTGCTTCCTTTTTCTTTCTTTCTTTCTTTTTTGCGGCGGCCAGAAAGCATTATCCATTCTTAATGTCTAACGTTAGAAAAGGATCCCAGAAAAAGTCATAAAATTGACCATCGCGTATTCGCGTTGCCCCCAGCTAGAGTAAGAATAAACACCTCATCAAGCATGAACACGTCTTCAACACGTGACTTACTGGGCTTCCCATTCCATTCTGAGTAATGACGTAGCCCTGACCCCAAAAAAGTGACGTACCCAAGTCCACGTGTCGCCAAATTCAAACTTCCAGTCCTTTTTATCCTTTTACTTAACCAAGAACCCCCTTGACCCAGTCCAAACTCCAAACACTACTAAATTCTTACTCGTACCACTTACTTTAAAAAAAAAAAACAAATTATATAAATATATACTACCTCCTGTGATTTTTATTTTAATCATAAATATAATATCTAAATTCACTTTATCTCTCATATTTATACTCTTCCAGTTCTTAATATAGGATCTAATTGTTGAATTAGTTTTGGTTCTAGATATAAGACCATTTTTAATATTTATCAATTTTCTCTAAAGCACCCCTATAGATACTCCCTCAACCATAATCAAGTAAAAGAAGGAGAGGAAATATTAAGAAAGATGATTATGGTATTTTAGGAAAAATGTGTCACATTTCTTATAATTAACTAACTTACCTAACTTTCTTAATATAATCAAATTAGTTAAATAGGTCTTATGTTAAAGATTGGAGGGTATTTTTTTAACATAGTTTTTTTTAATGATAGTAGTTTAAGTCAACACACTTTATTAATAAAGATATTTTAAGAAAGACAAAATCTATTTATTAACTAACTTAACTTATTTTCTTAATCTTTAAACTAATTCTTATATTTAGGAATCAGTAACTAATGTTTTACTCACGTTGACTTCCACTACTGTTATCTACGAAGACTGTAATCTTCCTGGAATCTAGTTTTGAAGACTTAAGATGATGTACATCCTACGTGGCACAAAAAGAACTTCCTCACCCAAAGTACACGGAAGCAGCCAAAGCAAGTGATAACCGTGGGCCAGTCGACCCACAATAATAAGCAGCCAACTGAACCCGTGTCCGTGTCCACCTCGTAGGCACGTGTTATTATTCTTCTTCTTCTTCACTCTCATATGGATAAGCTATATATACTCTGACCCAGCCGCAGTGGACTCGTCATCAGTCTCAAACAGAAAACATTTGCCGATAGCTTTGAAATGAACGGTTTCGGGACTTTCACAAGTAACTCAGAGGGATCCAACTCGTCATCTCACTCCGACGAAGAAGCGATCCAATTAGCGTCGGAGAAACCGAAGAAGCGAGCCGGACGCAGGGTGTTTAAGGAGACAAGGCATCCTGTGTACCGAGGAGTGCGGCGCAGGGACAAGGACAAATGGGTCTGCGAGGTTCGTGTTCCTAATAACAACAAATTAAGGATCTGGCTCGGAACTCATTCCACTCCTGAGAAAGCAGCCAGAGCCCATGACGTTGCTGCTCTCGCACTTCGTGGTAAGTCGGCTTGTCTCAATTTCGCAGACTCCGCGTGGCAGCTTCCGGTGCCGGCGTCCACAGATCCCGATGAGATACGGCGAGTGGCGATGGAGGCGGTGGAGGCCTTTGACGACGACAACGAGAACCAGCACGGCGAAGTGTGTAGCAGTATGGGGACAGTGATGGGATCAGAAGCTCACACTGGGATGAGCATGGAATTAGGAAGGCATGTGAATGGAGTTGAAGTTGGGGTTTCAGCGTTTGAAGATCAGATTTTGTTTAGCATGGCGGATGAGCCGTTGAGATCTCCGCCGGCGGCTTACTCTCTGGGAACAACCGGGTGGGACTGGAGGGAGGAATTAGGGGACCACGTGGATAATGAGGTCTCACTTTGGAGCTTTAGCATTTGATTGATCTGAAGTGAGATGTACTATGGTCTTGGCTTTTCTAGTACTACTGTGTATGATGTTCAGTGTATTTTTACTATTTTAGGCAAGCTTGTACACAACAGAAAAAGGGAAAAGGGGGTTATGTGTCGGTCTTCCCAAACACTCTTTCCATTTTGAGTCTTAATTTGAGCACAGTGAAGCGAGCAAAACTACAGTGACTTCTTCCCGCTGTGTTTTTTTGGCTGGCAAGGAAGAAGACCCCCAGCTCAAATTATGTAATTAATTTGTCTTTTTTCTTTCTTTTGTATTGTACTATCAGACTAGCTTTTTCTTTAATTTATGCGAATCTGTTAGTTTCCTTATTGTATCGGCGACTAGAGCATTTACTTCTAGATAACCTTTTTTTAACTATTTATGCAATTGTAATTAACTAAAAAGTGTGGCTGACTATAAAACAATGTGTTGTTTATTTTAATATATTTATTAACTATTAATTTTGTGGCCAAACATATATTCGTTATTTTAATCATTCTCAATAGTCAGAGTCACACAAACAAGGAACAAGATGAATTGTACCGGGATTGGATGTATCACCCTCGTGTCTGGCTGGAGACTTGGAGTTCTATGAGCCTAAGATACTGAGAATGGAGTTGGGAAAGAGAAGGGGGATGGTGGAAAAGAGCAAAGTAGCATCCAATATGTCATTTTATAGTTGTATCCACTACCTTATCATATGATGTTATTTTTCTGGTGTTTCCATCATCTTGATCTTATTTGTAGTGCATTAGTCATCTTAAACCATACATAAAATTAGAATGTTAATTGTAAATAATTGGATAAAAAAATCATAGTGTTGGATAAATTATAAATAGGATCAGGATAATAAATACTACTAAAAAATAATATTATGATGCTGAATGATACTTTAATCAAAAATAAAAAGGATTGTGTAGGAAAGGCATGGCAACAATGTGGTTATTACGATGATTACTGCACAATTAGAGTGATCTGCATATTTGGACATAGAAAATTTAGAACCTCCTCCAAGGAGTGTACCCATGGAGTGAGCTACATGTATTTGCATAGAAAACTACATATCTGAACCATGTGATTTTCCTTTATAACTTCTAGCCATATATTAATATTTTATTTTTAGAGAGATATTATAGATCAAATAGGAAAAAAAGTAACTATCAAATAACTTTTTCCACCAATAGATTTTCCCAATATTTAGCCATAGGCGTAGCAGTGGCTTTCTTTTCGAGTATGGGGCTGTCGGCCCAATTGCCAAATGGACCGATCTTTTTTTTTTTTCCAACTTGTCTTGTTGAGCAGCACAATGTTTTTTTTTTTTAAATACAGAAGACGGCTTAGAGCCTAGATATTACTAGCGACCCATTCCAGGACGATTCTCCTGAAACGAAGTCCCAAGCAAGAACCAAAGATTCAAACCTTTGAAAACTGCCCATTCTTCCGCTTCAAAGACAGTACAAGTGCCTAAATAATTAGCGAACCCAGCAGTCCAGTTCCCATTATTATCTCTTAAGACCCCTCCACATCCAGCACGGTGCGAGGAGGAAACTGCACCGTCTACACTTAGCTTGGTTGATCCAATCACTTGGTGGGGGTTTCCATTTATCCAATTCAGGTCTAATGGATCTCAAAGCATCATCCTCCTCCTGAATATGGACATAACTTCTCCAAGAATTCATAATTTCGCACTTGAGTCAGCTGGTTTTTCATAATCCGAGTCAAAAAAAATGAATTGATTTCTCCAGAGCCATAGTTTCCAAATAGTAGCACCCCAAATTTGTTTCCAACAACCATCTTCCATAATGCCCAAGTCTCTTTTGAGATTTAGAGCAAACCAGTCCCGAGGTTGAGGGGTAAAGAAAATAGCGTGATACCCTGGGTTGATCAATTGTAGCCATAGTCGCCTGGCATAAGGACAATCCCTTCATATATGCAGGACATCTTCATATCCCCCGTCACAGTAAGAACAATCAGCAGAAGTTTGACACCATCTATTCCTCCAAGAATTTTTGGGCAAACGATTATTGAAAGCAATCCACATAAAAACTCGGATCCGTTCGACGCCTCTCCATTTCCCAATGAGTCTAAAAACATGGCTGTAATTGTTCCCAGGAGGTTCTTCAAGAATAAAATAAGCACTCTTAGTAGTGAAAGTGCCATCAATTGTAGCATTCCCAAGATAAAACATCGTTTCCAGCTCCAGCCAAGGGGGCGGAATACTGATTAATTTCTGAATTACACTAGTAGGCAGAGTCTTTGCTAGTCTGACAAATTACCCGGAACCACAGGAAGTCCGCTCAGAAACCTTACTATTTTCTTCCTCAGTAGACAGGGACCTCAAGCACGTCTTTGAGAGAATGATTAGGAAATGGCCAATTGTCATTAAAGAAATTTACCGTTTGACCATTCCTAATACTCCACTTTGCTCCTTTCTCCACAAGCTGTTTTTGCTGAGTACTAAATTTCCACAAATTAGAATCTCCAGACAGGACATTGAGAAGATCTTCTTCACTCCTCAGCACATATTTGTTGAGTAAAACATCAGCCCATCATCCCTTAGTACGCGAGAGTAGTTTCCATGTCAATTTTTTATCTGCATTGATTCTTCATTTCAAATGCTCTCTCTCTCTCTCTCTCTCTCTTTGATCTCGAACTGGCGCCTTGCAGTTTACAAGCGTGGCAATATACCACAAAAGCCCGGTGCAGCTAGCTTCTTTTTCTAACTCCTTTCACTTTCAGGGTACCAAAAATAAAAACTCTCCCAATCTAAGAAACACAAGTTCACACAATAGTTAAGTAGTAGTAATTCATAATCTAAATTAAATTCGTCCAGTGGTCATTTCTTTTTCCATTTTAAGAAGTGCCATTATCATGCTGAAGTGCATCTAAAACAGTGATAAAGAATGCCAGATAAATACACGAGGGCATTGATGCGGCCTCCTATATATTTACCATCGTTGTTTTATTTGATTTGCTTGGATGGCTTTGAATTAATAATAAGGAATAGTTGGATGAAAACTATAATTTAACTGATGGATGTTGAATTGACCATGTTGCCCACCATCATTTGAGCTCATCACCATCCATTGATGTAATAATGAGGCAGGCAAGCTCAAGTAATGACTCGATGGCCAACGTTTATATGATGAGATGTACCGAGCAGGGATGCAGTAGACGATCACATCGAAGCTTTTTATGTTTATGCCCTCGTCAAACTCTTCCCATTTCTTCACATCTCTGATACTATTTTTCTTCTTTAGAATGTTGATTTCATCTGGCTTTGATGTTCCACCTTTGATCATAATGCAAAAATCATCATAAATGGCATGGGCAAATCCATAAGTTCTCTGTACGTGCAAACCTAACCCAAAAGAAATGAGTGAATCACACACAGCAAGAAAGCATTTTATTGGCTTAATCCTTCCGTAGATGCCAGGGCCTAGGAGGGCTGATGCCAAGATTTTGATTTGTCGGTAACCTGTTTTTGTCTGCACTTATTAATTAGCCATTAGTTCTGCAATCTGCAAAAGTCTTTTCTTTCTTATTCATCAATTACTACCGCCTGTCAAAAGCCGTGTGTGTAGGCCAAATATTTCAAAAATACTACATTCGATCTAAGGCTCGTTTGATTTTGATTTTGATTTTAATTTTAAATATAAATTCTAATTTACTCTGTTACTCATATTTTTTTTTAAGGTAGTCATTATAATAATGATAATTCTAATTAATATATTTAATTAATAAAGATATTTTATAAAAAAACAATACCTATTTATGATAAATAATTAATTTAACTAATTTTTTTAATCCATTTAAATTAATAACTTAATTAATTTTTTTAATCTACTTAAATTAAGCAACCAACCTATAAGCAAAGAGGATATGAAATTGACCATGGTGAAAAAGACAGTGAAAAAGTGGGGGGATTAAATTGAGCGTGCAAAGAGGACAGGAGCATTTAATGAGAAGGAAGTTGCAGGTCAACGACATGGGAAGATGAAAGGGGCACGTGACTGAGCACGTGAAAGAGAGGAAGTACTGTGCGTATGTTTTGGTTATTATTCAATTAGATTCCAGAAAAGGTCAACTACTCGTCTCCAACAGTCCAAACCCCCCAGCATTCCTCAACTCGATCTCCAGAATCCATTTCATTCATACATTAATTAATCTCATTTTCAGATTCAAATTTGAAACTCCCCATATCTTTCCCTCAGCCGAAGCATCCTCCCTGCTTCTTCTTCTTCTACTCAGCCTCCTCCTTGTTATTGTAGCTGAAGCCTCACTTTCTTATTGTATATACATATGCAATCATTCATTGAGATCTTCACCTCCGAACCTTCTTTTACCTTTCACTTTCCCTCCTATAAATTTGTCCCCCTCTTCACTACTCTCTCTCTCTCCCCCTCCCTCCCTCTGTGTGGCTCGTTCGTACTGAAGCTCCCAGCCTGGCTCTCTTTATCCACCAAAAAAAACTTCCTCCTCCTCTGAATTCTCTGTTTACAGTTCAGTATCCTCATTTATGGATCCCTTCTTTCCTCCTCATTCTTAGTTAACCCCTCTGCTTTATTTGCTTCTTCTACTCCCCCACGCCCCACTAACTTCTCTGAGATTCTGTATCTCACGTCTCCTTCTCCCTGGAAAATGGCTTCTCACGGTAAACCCTTGAGGGATCAAATGCTGATCGCCAAGCATGTCCGACGTCCTTCCAATATGCTGCTCAAGGATTATCTCAGGGACGATCTCAGTTCCTGCTCATCCAGCGGCTTCAAATCGTTTCCTCGCCGACAATGCTGCACCACCGTCCGGTTTGATCTCCTCGAGAAAGATCTCCAGGCCAAACGGAGCCGGCTCCTTCCACCTAGTACCACCCATCGAAGTTCTTGTTCTTTCAAGGTTGCTTCCTCCACCATATCCGCCCTGCACAAGGCCTCTCGAGCTGTGATCAGCGCCGTTAAATTACTGCCATTCCCCTCCGTATCCGCAACCACCTCGTCGTCGTCTTACAGAAAGACCAACTCCATGAAGCGCCTCCTTTCCAAAAGCTTATCTCGCAAGATGTTGAGCGGAAGCTTCTGGAGAAAAACAATGGAGAAAGGAAAACGCGCCTCCGCGGTTGAAATCATTCCGGGAGTTTTTAGAAGAAAAAGAAAAGCCGTCCGACCAACATACACAAAGCTCGAGCATGATGAGCGTGACTTTGGGAAGCAGTAGCACTAGCGGAA